ACAACAAACTTGCACATGGTTTGATTCTGTTATGGGTATTTGGTTTGATTCTATTAAAGGCTGGGTCTTTTGGATTCATTCTGTTATAGGTATTTAAATATTTGTGGCAATGACATTATACTTTTGTCCACCACATTCGTAGAATGTGGCGTATTTAAATTGTGGTTTGTGCAGTTGATTTTGTGGCCTTAATTCTTTAATAATGGCCATTGTCTTCACTAAATTTTCCGATTTGTTTGCACTAACACCTACCAGTTTCCAAATTTGTAGCAATAGAATAAACACCCATTGATTTGAGGCTATTAAAGGTTGAGTGTTTTGGCTTAATTCTCTCATACCTATTTAATTATAAATTATCACAATTGTTCTAAGTTTGTTATCAATTGTTATCTGGAGGCTTTGACTTTATAGGAGTGGCGAGCGTTGGTCTTCTTCTTAAGATTGAACTCCAGCTTTTTCTATGTTTCGGTCTCTCTCTCTCACTGATCTGTAAGTAAATTTTGCTTCATCTTTCCATTCAATTTTTGTTGCTCTTCTTTTTCATTTTTTTTTTGTTACTAATATCTTGGATCTTATTTTATTAAACTATAAGACCTGTTTTAATTTGCTGCCCTAAAAGTCCAAATTCCTAATTTTTCCTCATAGTGGATCTGTGTTATTGATTTGCAAATGTTATCCAAATACTGAAATTGATTTGATTGTGTTATTATTTTGATGAAACCAGGTGAAACAATTTAGTTATTAAAATACTATATGATTGCTTTTGGTAAGGTTTTCTGTTTGATTATTAAAAATTAGTTGGTAAACCCTCAAAATCGGTATTTGGATATGCTGGTTCTTTTGTTACAGGGTTTAGGATAGCTCTGTTTTGGTAAGCAGGATATGCTGCTATTTGGGTAGTTATGTTTAAAGACATGTTCGTTCTTTTACTACAGGGTTTTAATTCAAATTCGTTCTTATACTGGTTTATGGGACTGGGGATTTGAATTTGATAATTTTTGTTTTGGTAGGGGAAAGAAAATTTGGGAGTGTGATTCTAGGAACTGATTGCAATGTTTTAGCATAGTTGACTTGAAGAAGATTGGTTTAGGAAATATGTGGGATTTGAAAATCTGACTTCTAAATTGGAATTCTGTTTGTGGACATTAGAGATGACGAGAAAGAATTCAGAAAAGTTAAAATTCATAGGTTTTTTTGTTTGTGGGTTTGATTTACCAAGCGGATTTTTGTTGATTTTTGCATTGAATGGAGACTTATTGAAAACTAAAAAAGTTTGTATATCCTAATTTCAGAATGCAGAGTTTGGTTATATTGTTTTTTTTCCTTTTCATGGGCTAATAATTTGGCCATGCTTCTACTCTTTGCAGCTGCTAGGGACTGGAATGGATACGCAAGATACATCTCCTTCAGTGTTGCTATTCTTTGACAAGCAAAGATTTATATTTAATGTTGCAGAGGTAAGGAACTC